CAGTTTGTTCTTATGATATATTATTCTTGAGGCATGTTTTTGTTGTCAGATAAAGATCTTAAGCAAGGAGTAAGGCAAGGATCGATTCTCTCACCCTACCTATATAACATATACACTGAGAAGCTACTCGAAACTATAAAAAATGATGAAATTGTTGATACTACTATATATGGAAACTTAACTTGTGTTGTAGCTTATGCTGACGACATCATTCTTCCCAGCTCTACTGTCTCGGGCCTAAAAAACTTATTTCAACGTGTAACATATACAACAGTTTAAACGGGATAAAACTTAGTGCTTTTAAAACGGAACTTTTGCTCTCTGGAAGAAGACAAATAATGAACTGCACAATATCTCTAGACAACCATCAAATTATACTTCGTGAGAAACTTAATCATCTTGGCTTTACTTGGGATACAAAAAAATCAATTTTTGCTTCACAAAATAAAATGAATATTGATAGTAGGGTATCAAATTTCCGGGCAACAGTGCAAACTCTTATTCAATCCGGAATCCGGTTTGCACATCCAAGTTCTATTATCCAATTATATAAATCATTAGCAGTTCCGACGTTAACCCACGGTCTAGAGCTCTGAGAAAATAAAGCTGCAACAATGAAAAGACTCGACACATTTGGAACGAACACAGTTAAATCAATTTTTAATGTCTCTAAATATAGTAAAGAATATATACACACTCTATTTAAAAATAAGAAGATGTCAAATTATATACACCAAAACAAAATAAATCTATTTATCCGCCTTTTAAACAATAAAGTAATCTTTGAAATCATTAACTCCCAACTTAACTACTGTCAGCTAAACTTTCTTTTTTAGATGATATAAAAGAATTATGTGATAATCATAAACTGAATATGAAAATCTTCATGCTGGTTAAAAAAAAAAGTAAAACTTAAATTCTTAGAGGATCTAATTCCTGAAGCTACTCTTCATATTTTGGTACATGCGGTTCAATGTTGGAATGTAAAAGAACAGCGAACAATTTTTAAAAAGACACTTGAAGAAAACATTACTAAATAATACTTTTTTTTTTATCTCTTTTTCTTAGTTTGTGATTTTACCATGTAAATTTATTTTACAGAGGGTGATTAATAAAATATTAATAATAATATAATAAGATATAGTATAAATATTTCATTTGCATTGCCACCCTCGTCCTCCCACATATGTAATATATTTTTATAATCATATTAGACAAAATTATGTTGTAAGTTATATTTTTCAATATAATTTAAAAAAAAACTTTTTTTTAAAAAGAAAGTATTAAAAAAAAAGATACGAACCCACAATATTACCCGATTTAAAATTTTTTTTTATATAATTATAATTTCACATTAATTATAAAACAAAGCCGCAAGCACTTTAGAAGCAAATTTTTATATCAAGAGTTAGTTTAGAGTCCTCGGAGAGTCACAAAAAGTTGAGAAAGAGATCATGTTAAGTTACTTACCAGACTGGGAAGTAAAGTCCAATTACGAAGGGGCTTGTCAGGCAGTATGTTTAGTAATTAGGAAAAGGTTTTACTAGCTTTCTAATTGATTGTAGTAGACTGTTAATGTAATGGCAAATTTTGTAAAAAGTAGCAAAACAGTTTTTTAAAAACTAACCAACAGGGTGCGTATTCAGCAAACTTTTTTTTGCGTAAGTTTGGCGTAAGTTCAAAACAGTGAAATCCGTATTCACGAAACTTGCGCAGTTGCGTTAAACAAAACTTACGTAAGTTTTTTCGTAACTTCTGTGCTAAAACGGTATTCATCAAGCTGAAATGGTATTCACCAAACTTTTTATAAACTTGCTCAGCTCAATTTAAGCAAGAAAAGTTACGTTAGCTATTAGCTGCCTTAACTTTGGCGTAAAATTAAAATAACTAAATATTAGAAATAGTGTAATATTATTATGATATATATTGTCAGATTGATATAGAATTTTATTATAATATATACAATTCATGTATATAAATTATATATAATATAATAAAGGTAACAATAATCATAAATGTTATTAATATCTATGATAAAATTAATAGATAATAATAATAATAATAATAATAATCATAGATATTAACACAAATATTATTTGTGTTAATATTATTAACACAAACAGTATTTGTGTTAATATCTATGATTATTATTATTATTTATTAATTTTATCTATAAATTATTATGATGCATTTATATTTCGAATATAAATGCCATTTATATTTGAAATACAAATGCATCATAATATTTTTACAACTTAATAACATCTTGATATTTGTTACGTATAAAGTGTTTACTTATTTATGTATGTTTATTTACATATATATATATATGTGTGTGTGATCGTGTATATGTATTGTGTGTATGCTTGTAATTGTATACATGTGCAGGGCCGGCGCGAGTAGGTGTCACGTGGGGGGGGGGGGGCTATTACAACTTTTGCCGACTTAAAAAAATAAATAAAAAGGTCCTCGTTTTCCAAAATTTGCCGACTGTCATTACGACATTTGCCGACTGTCTAACTTATATCGAAAGGGTCGACATTTGCCGACTAACTAGTCTAAATAGGTCCGATTTGCCGACTAAAGGTCCAGTTTGCCGACTAAAAATCATTGATGGGAAGGTGTCACACCCCCCACACCCCCCTATCGCACCGGCCTTGTACATGTATGTATGTATATGTATGAATGTATGTGTTTTGCGTATATGTGTGTATGTGTTTTTGTGTGTATGTATGTTTGTATGAATGTATGTATGTATGTATGTATGTATGTATGTATGTATGTATGTATGTATGTATGTATGTATGTATGTATGTATGTATGTATGTATGTATGTATGTATGTATGTATGTGTATCATACACACATATGCATAAATAGGCGTGTGCATATACACATATACATATATGTGTGTATGCGCGCACTGGACATGCATACATTCACATACTGTGTGTATGTGTGTTTTGTGTGTGTCTATGTGTGTGTATGTATGTATATGTTTGTATGAATATCTATGTATGTTTGATTGTGTATGTGTGGTTATATATATATATATATATATATATATATATATATATATATATATATATATATATACATATATATATGCTTATATATATATATATATATATATATATATATATATATATATATATATATATATATATATATATACACACGTATATATAGATTTGTAGGTCATCACGTTTTTGTCAGTTATATAACTGTTTAACAAACCAAAACATTGTGTATTATAATATCATAGTATTATTGTTATATTTTTGTATAATATGATCAATTTATTATCTTATAGTTGTAATATAGCGTATAACAGGGTCCGAATATATTTAAATTACATGCATCATGATGATATATTATAAATAAATATTGATATAACATCTTTATGACAACCATTAAGATGTTATATTATTAATTAAGTTAAACCTAATGTATTTAATTTATTTATATTAAAATATTATTATATTATTAATATAACATAACATCTTATGCAAAATAATAGTAACATTGTTATTTAAATTAATATATTATAGTATATTGTATATTATTTGGATTATATTTTAAAAGATACTGTATTGTTATAATGCAGTTATGATTTTGGTAATATATACAATTATTGAATTATTATATTCATAAAAAAAACAACTATATCTTTATAAATATTAATAAAACACTTTATATCTACAAAAAAGCAAGTATATCTTTATAAATATTCTATTTCACAGTTTTTTGTTATATGGTACGTGTCTCATTAAGTTTAACATAATTCATAAAATCATAATTCATTTAGTTGTTCTAATAGCTTTATTTCATTTTAGTTTAAATAGAAATTTGATTAATTTGGTCAAGATCAAATCTAGCGTTAAGCTCAATATACTGCTTTAAACGATTACTCTGATGTAGAATGTGTTAAAAAATCTCATTTGTATAAAAATATATAGAAGTATATAAAGCCAACACATTAACAATGATTTGTCACCAAGCATATTGAGGAGCAACCCAATTTCTTCAGAAGCAAAAATGTAACTAAGAGTTTTTAAGTTAACTGGGAGTTTTCAAATAGTAATTGGTAAAAACTACTAGTCAATTCAAAAAAAGAATAATTTTTATTTTTTTTTATTTTTGAATTGAAAAAGACATTAGAATATAATCCTAATGCAGATTTCCTTTTTGCTTATTAACAGTCATGATTGCACCATTTAATCAGCCAACTACACCAGAAAAAATCTATTTCAATAAAGTTCACCTACAGATAGATAGTGATGTGGGGCAATCCTTTGATCATCTCAAAAACCATTGGATGTCACAAGAGACGTGAAGCACTTCAGTGCTCCTAAACATATGCTTACCCAAACAATATATTGCAAATTATATTTTAAGTGTAAGTTGCTGGAAAACTTTTACAATTCCTTAGGATTAGAAATTCCAGATGACATAAACTTTGAGGACAACAACGAAGATGATGTACACTATGTTCAGGTTGAATTAACACAAGTCAACCAATTCGACTTGGCATTGTACAAAGAACACTAGTTAAAACTATGTTATTAAATTGAAGGGATTATGGGGATATATATGATTTACGTGATATTTATGAATGAAAAAAATGAAAGTTTTTTTTTTAATTATTAATTGCTTTGTAGAATAATCAATTTTGAACCCTCTCTACTTCTTTTCAACTTAAAACTATTTTCCTAATATTTATAATTTTTTTTTTAAATAAATATTCAATAAAAAGTATTTAGTTTTTACAGCAAAGTTTATAAAAATATTATTGTCATTTTATTAGGGTGTGGAAAATGTTAATTAGTAATAACCCCTAATTTAAATTAGTTAGAAATTATATGAATTCAATATTAGAAAAGTTTGTTTTATAAAATTACGAAAACTTGGTTTATTCAAACAAAAATTAACTTGGTTAATTTTTGCGTAAGCTTTTGCGTAAGTTTGGCGCATCTCGTGCGCAACCCTAACTTTACGGAAATGCTGCAAAACATTGGTGAATACCAAAACTACGTTAAACTTACGATTTCCGTAACCTTAGTTGAGCTACGCAAGAGTTACGAAAGTTTGGTGAATCCGCACCCAGAAGATCAAAATACTGAAGAACTATCAACTATCCTTCTTAAGAAAATGGCGAAAGTATCAGCCGGCGAGATATCCGAAAACGTAGTTATTGAATATAGTAGTGATGAACTTACCGATGACGAAGAACAAGTAAACGAAAGTCAAAAAACTCCAAAAAATTATGCTGCAGCAGCACGAAACAAATAAAACAAACGTTATCGAAACCGAAGCAAAAAATAAAAAAGAAAAAAAACAACAAACCATACCAACAAACGAAACCCATCAAGAAACAACTAAAGAAGAAGAAAGGAAGAAAGAAGCTGACAAGAAGAAAAGATTTCTACTTTGGAAAAGCGACGACGGACGAAGAAGCAGAAGAACAAAGTAACACAAAAAAAACAAAACAAGAGGAAGAAGCGGAAGAAAGTAGTCGATCAGAAGAAGCGAGCGAAAGTAAAGATGAAAAAATGGAAGAAACGTGGCAAAAAACCATATTTAAACGAAGCGCACCTCCATCGACACCACACAAAAACGAAAGAAAAAAAAGAATAGAAGCGAAAAACGAAAATGGCTAAGTTTTTATTTTTTCTTTTTTCTTTAACTTTTATTAACGACTTTTTTTTGAATATTTTTTTTTAAACGAACATTATTATGCAAAAATGCTCAACTCTAAATCACCCGAAGTATACGTTCCAAAAAAGAATGTGCTTTTTCTTACATTCTTAACTACGGAACTCCTACATAAGGATAAAAAAAGCCTTGATTCTGATGAATGGATATTTTAAATATTTTTTCAGTCAATGTGGCTGGCTTAATAAATAAACAAAAACAAGAAACAGTTTTAAATAATTTCAAAAAACTAAATTATGATTTCTATTTTCTACAAGATACTCATCTTAACAAAATACAAAATGATGAGTTATCAAGAAAATGGAAAGGCAGCGTATTCTCCTCTGCGGGTAAGACTAGCACAGGTGGTACAACAATTATAAGCAAACACGTGCTAAAAGCGTACGAAATTTTCAAAGACGAAAAAGGAACTTTTAATTACGTCTTAACAAAATATAATAAACAAAAAATTCTTTTGTTAAATGTTTACGCTTCCTCGGGACCTGATTTCGCGAAAGACAGAAAAATATTATTTGAATTAATTGAAAGCAAAATAAAACACATAAACTTAGAAAACGTTTTAATAGTTATGGCGGGAGATTTCAATATGGTTCTAAATGAAATCGATAGATACCCACAAATCTATAGAAAAAAATGCCAGTCGACGGAAAAATTTAAAAGACTTGTAAATAAACTAGAAGTAGAAGACACGTGGAGACTTTTTAATACAAACAAACAAGAATTTACATACAAAGCCACAAACAATGTCTCTTATTCACGACTTGATAGACTATTCATCAGTAAAAAAAAAAGGCAATACGTGGAAATAAAACACGAACCAATGGCGCATTCTGACCATTAAAACGCGTGCGTTGCCTCAATTAGCCTTGATAAAACTGTAATAGGTAAAAGTTTGTGGATCTTCAATAATAAATACTTAAAAAATCAAAACTACTTAAACCAAATAGAAATTATTATCTAAAACAAAACAACCCAAAGCATAGAATCAAAAAAAGAAACGTGGGAAAAACTTAAAGAGGAAATAAGAGAACACGCAAAAAAATATTGCAAACAACAAGCAAAAAAAAGCAGGATTGATGAATATAAGCTGAGAAAAAAATTTAAAAACGCAGCAAAAAAAGTACACCTAAACCTACGCGTGCAAATTCTATGCGCTGACATTAAAAACAAGCTAAAAATTTTCGAAACAAACAGGGCATATGGCGCAGGAATAAGAGCAAAAATCAAATGGCGCATTAAAGGCGAAAAATGCAGTCGCTCGTTTTTTCAACTAGAAAAACTAAAACCGGCAAAGCAAATAATAACAAAAATTAAGGATAAGAACAACAACTTGAAATCAGAAAAGGACGAAATTGTAAAAGCTTTTGAAAATTATTATAAAGACCTTTACGCAAATGAAAAATGCGATGAAAAAAGTCAGAAAATCCTTTTCTCTAAAACATCTGCTGTTAAAAAAAAACCCGCAAGTTTAAATAAAAAACTCGAATTACCAATAACAATTGTAGAAATTATGAAATCACCAGGATGCGACGGCCTCCCCATCGAATTCTACAAGCAAAATATGTATTGCTTGGAGAATTGCTAGCCGCATCCATAAACGAAATATTAAACTCTGGTGAAATGAGCGAAAGCCAAAAAAAGGCAATAATTACATGTTTGTATAAAAAAGGAGAAAAGACGGACATAAATAACTGACGTCCAATCTCTCTTTTAAATACAGACTATAAAATCATAACAAAAATATTCGCAAATAGGCTAAAAAAAATCCTACCCTTGATTATAAACGAAAATCAAACGGCATGCATTCCGCATAGAACCATTTATTACAATTTATCATACACTAGAGATATCATAAGAATATCCAGCAAAAATCAATTAGCTACATCTATAATATCCATTGATCTTGTCAAGGCTTTTGACAGAAAAGATAGAAACTATTTATACAATACTTTATCTTTTTTTGGTTTTAATATAGTTTTTATAAACTATATTAAAACGCTACATTATGATATAAGCGCGCAAATAAAAATAAATGGATTTTTATCTGTAAAAATTGAAATAAACAGAGGAGTAAGGCAGGGTTGCCCACTTTCGATGATACTATATATCATACAGGCCGAAAATTTCTCCGGTTACGTAAGAGCAAATAAAAACATTAAAGGGATAACCGTAAACCAAAATGAAACTAAAATCCAGCAATACGCTGTCGATACTAATTTCTACTTAACAGGAGATGAGTCTATCGAAGAACTCGGTAAAGCTCTAGAGCTCAACGAAAGAGCTACCAGAGCTAAATTAAATGTTTCAAAATGCCAAGGTCTGTGGCTCGGTAAAAATAAATCAGAAAATTTTTTAAATTTCAATTGGGAAGATAATACCCTTAAAAGTTTAAAAGTATTTACTTCTCAAATCGAGACACTTTAATTAACATTAAACAATGGAATGAAAGCATATCTATAATTCAAAAAAAGATTAAACGATGGCAAATGTTTAACTTATCCTTTAAAGGTTATCCTAAAAAAATTATCCTAAAAGAGTTATCCTAAAAGAGTTATCCTAAAAGAGTTATCCTAAAAGAGTTAAAGGTTATCCTAAAAGAGTCGTTATAAATCAAGCGCTCTTGAGTAACTTTTGGCATTTAGCTTTCACGCTACCAATACCAAAAGTTAAAATCATCAAATATATTGAAAAAATGGTTGAGAACTTCCTTTGGGGCAATAGCTCCATTAAAACAAACCAAAAAAACTCCAAACTCCCTATTAAACTAGGAGGTTTGAGCATTATAGATATAAGCGAAAAACTAAAATCCATCCAATTAACCTGGGTTGCAAAAGTATCTAATCACACTCTAACAGGCGCGTGGAGAGACGCTACAATACATATTTTAAATAGTTATAGAAAAACAGATCAAGGAGAAAACATTTTTATAACAACCCACTCAAGCAGCGCAATTGATACCCTCCCTGCGCTTTACCAACAATTGATCAAAAATTGGAGCCGCATTCTCAACAATGAGAGTGACATAAAAGATATGTCCATTGAGGAAATTCTCAGTCAGCCTCTTTTTTATCACAATTTTATAAGAGACAAAAACCACCAAACCCTAAAACCTAAAACAGAAACTACCTTGAATCAAAAATCTAAAATATCAGACCTTGCTAAGGTTTTTGTACCGGGATTCTTAAACTACCAATTAACCGGTCTTAAACAATTAACCTTTAAAAAACCAAAAATTTCCATTCCGCATGTCTGGAAAACAAAAATAAAAAATGAATGTCAGTCTTATGACCATACCCAGTGGGCATCGGGACGTCCATGAGACGTCCAGTAGACGTCCGTTTTGGACCAGAAGACGTCCTAACTGGACGAACCAGCGACGTCCAGCGGACGTACTAATTTAAACGCTTTTCGTCCGTCCTAAAAAGACGAAATAAAGACGTCGATAGGACGTCACAACATTCGTCGTATGGACGTACAACCTACGTCGTACGGACGTCCTAAAAACCAATACCAGCTACAGTATACTCGTCCTATGAAAGTTCTTTAATTTGGATTTTATTTTTCAAATTAAGTTGTTTGCAATATGCTGTTTATGACCGCATTTTCATTAATAATCCTAATAGAAAAAAAAGCCAATAACTAATCAAAATTCTCTTAGTGCAAAAAAACAACAACATAATATTATAACAATATTTATTCAATAAAATAAAATCTTAAAAAAAAATAACATAAAACATTAATTATCCGGCTCTTTATTCTTTGCTAAAACTGTCAGCTTTATTTCGAATCTTCGCTCTTTTGAGTAAGTCTCCAACATTAAAATCAATTACATCCTTCGTCGATTTTTTTGTAGGATCAAAAAACGCTCCTAATAAAAAATTTTGCGTGAAACATCAATAATTTATGATAATTGACAAACAATAATGAGTTATTTCAGCTAATTTTATGGAGACCAATTAGTAATCATGACGACCAGCAGCAAAGGATGAGAAAACCGAAGATTTTTTAGTCATTTATTCATTAAATGATTAGTTATTATTAATTATTTATTACCGAATTATAATTTGAACACTAACAAATATTGAAAATACCTAGCAAGCAACGATAATACAATGTCTTTGAAAATGCTCTTTTTCCGGATATTCCATCCTTGCTAGATAGATTTTGGACATCACGAACCATCAAAGCATTTAATGCAAGCCTTACAGTTGTTCGCAAATCCTTAACTGCAAAAAAATGTTTAAAAAAAACACTAAAAAAAATGTTTTGATGGGGCAATCTCTAAAACGAATCTTATATACAACACAAGATTGCAATTCAATAATTACTTACAACTAAGAAAGGTATTATTGCTTCAATTCAATATTATATATAATAATAATTATATATATATATATATATATATATATATATATATATATATATATATATATATATATATATATATATATATATATATATATATTGTTGTTTTATTGTATCAAATTAAGATACTTGTCTACTGAACTTGTCAATAAACTTCACCTCAATCAATGGAAAAAAACACAAGATACCACAAACTGGTTTAATTGCATCAGAAATAAACACCTTTGTAAATTCCTTGTTTTTGACATTGTTGACTTTTACCCATCAATAACAGAAAAATTACTCAACAATGCTATCCATTTCGCTGAACAACATCTAAATATTGAACCTAACCATAAATCATTGATCTATCACGCAAGGAAGTCATTACTATATAATGATGATCAAGTTTGGATTAAAAAATCAGGCGGTTTATTCGATGTTTCAATGGGAGCATTTGACGGAGCTGAAGTTTGTGAACTCGTGGGAATTTATCTATTGTCTCAAGTTGCACAGGTTTATAATAAAAATGATTTCGGACTATACCGCGATGACGGCTTAGCAGTTTTTAAAAACATGAGTGGCCCCCAAATGGAAAAAATTAAAAAACATCTTGTTGAAATATTTAAAAAAAACGAACTCAATATATCAATACAATGCAACATGAAAATTGTAAATTACCTCGACGTCACATTAAATCTAAATGACCATACTTTCCAACCATATTCTAAGCCCGGAAATTCTTTAAATTATATTCACACTGATTCAAACCACCCGCCAAATATTTTAAAACAGCTTCCGCATTCAATTGAGTTAAGATTGTCTGCAAATTCCTCAAGTGAAGAAATTTTCCAAAGATCTACCCCTGCATACAATGACGCACTGTTAAAGTCCGGTTTTAATCATAAACTTTCATACCACCCTAATTTAAATTCACCTTATACAAAAAAGCGTAAACGCAACATCATTTGGTTTAACCCACCTTTCAGCAAAAATGTAAGCACTAACATAGGAAAAAGCTTCTTAACTTTAGTCAACAAACACTTTCCAATAAACCACAAGTTCCACAAAATCTTCAACAGAAACACCATAAAAGTAAGTTATAGCTGTATGCCGAACATGAAATCTATCCTAAATGCACACAATCGACAAATTATGAACAACAAAAAAGATCTACCTAAAACCAATTGCAACTGCCTTAATAAAAGCACCTGCCCTCTATCAAACCAATGCTTAACAAAAAACATTGTATACCAAGCTAAAATAAGTTCAACTAATCCTACTACCAATCCTGTCATCAAACTATACATCGGTATAAGCGAAACACCATTCAAAATTAGATATGCCAACCATGTAAAATCTTTTACCATTCAAAAATACAAAAATGACACTGAACTATCAAAAGAATTTTGGAAACTGAAAGATGCAAATTTAAATCCAGTTATTAAATGGAAAATAATTAGGCAGTGCAATGCTTACAACCCAACCATGAAGTCTTGCAAACTGTGTATAAATGAAAAATATCAAATTCTGTTTTCCAAAAATAAAAATCTAATTAACAAAAAAAGTGAAATGATATCCAAATGCAGGCATCGAAACAAGCTTCTTCTCGCCCACTTCGACACGGCTGATTAAACAATTTTCTAATTAAAAATTTTGTTTTGACGTCAGAACTCATTCTATTGCTTTGTTATTGTTTTTTCTGTTAATTTTTGTATTTTGTATTTTTTAACGGTTTTTCTTGTTTTAAAAGAATAAAATATGGCTGATGATTGCCGAAGGGCATGAAACTTCAAGTACCATCAAAAAGTTGTATTTTTTCAAATAATCAAACTCTATTATTATTATATATATATATATATATATATATATATATATATATATATATATATATATATATATATATATATATATATATATATATATATATATATATATATATATATAATTATTATTATATATAATATACATTTTTATATATAATATAATATAATAATTATTATATATATAATATATATATAATAAATATTATATTATATTATATATAAAAATGTATATTATATATAATAATAATTATATATATATATATATATATATATATATATATATATATATATATATATATATATATATATATATATATATATATATTATATATATATATATATATATATGTATATATATATATATTATATATATATATATTTTATATTATATATATATATATATATATATATATATATATATATATATATATATATATATATATATATATATATATATATATATATATATATATATATATATATATATATATATATAGATACAATTATACAAAGTAAATTTAAGAATTTAAGAATATGTTTTTTTCTTATATTTTTTGAATCTAAAGTCTCTAAAAAAAATAAAAACCTGCATAATATTTTATATCAGTGGTAAAAAATATATGATTTGCAATTAACCTACAGAATTATTGAAACAAACTGAAAAAAAAACATCAAGTACCGTTGTCATCATCAGAAGATGAAACATCATCAGCTGTAGTTGCAAAATCAACCAACTCCTGTGCTTCCTCGCGGGTGCCTTGGTGCAGCAAAAACTCCACTATTGGGTATGTTACCCAAGTACACTCAGGTGATTCATGTTGTTTAAAATAGAAATCTAAAGACTTAGATTCGTTTAGTGGCCAGAAGATTTGCTGATTTAAAGTATCAATCCATGAGCAGGGCACAACGGTTTTCCACTCTGAACCATTTTCTTGGACAACACATGCAGCCCAATATCTAAAGAAAAGATAAGCAAAGTTATTCATTGCAACGTTAATCAGTTTAAACCACAAAGACTCGTTACTTATTGCAATTATCCAAAATTCTAGAACATATCCTTTAAAAAATATATACCCTTTAAATGCACTCCTATTTTGTATTAATATATTGAATACAAACAGATATTTATAACAACAAAAAGCTGGGAGCCGCAACTTTAGGGGCCAGAAGTTAATGGAAAAAGCCAGTGCCGAGAGCCGAAACAAGTCAGAGACCTTACAAAATGACCAGCTACTCTGTAATGTCAATCATTCAATTGTGTTGTAGATTTCTGGTCTTTCATCCAAACGATGTCTATGGGGTAATTTATAATTAAATAAATAAAGCTGGTAATGGTATTTATGTTTTATCCCAAAAATATTTTGTTTTTTTAGTTTATAAAATTAAAAGAAAAAAAAGAAAAAAATTAGGAGCCCTTTTTTAAAAGGTAAAAAACTTTTTTACCTTTTAAAAAAGTTTCTTACCTTTACTTACTTGAAGCCGAACCATACCTTTTTTTCTCCGCCTAATTTAATATTAACATTGACTCACCCACTCTGGATAACAATGAATTGAAAAAACACTAAAAAAGATTAAAAGGACATTTATTTATTAAAACTATTCAAACTTGTTTATACATCATGAATTAAAGGTATTATAACACACAGTGTCACGAAATGGTCATCAACCATAACCTCATGTCCCGAGAAAACCCTTTGGTGGGATGATAGCCCACATATAGTAGATCACTTAGATATAAATTTGGAAATCGAAATATGACGTCCTTGAGAGATATTTTAGTTTTTATTTTCTTCAATTCTGGCATATCAAAATTTAAACGAGATGATAGGAATTTGGCATTTTTTCAGTAGTTATAGAACAAAAAGTTAATTTTCCCATATATTTCTATAAGACATATAAACAAAAACATATTTTACAATAAAGTTGATCCTTTTTATTCTAAAATGAATGTTTGCTGTTGAAATCAATCACACAATTCAGAAGCTTTGATTCATATTCTGGATGGTTTCTTGCCCGTTTGTAACGCTGCCAATGGGAACTGAAGTCGTGATGAAGAGATTCTGTAGCTCGCTCTGAGAAAATGCCAAGACTAGAATTGTGCCTAAGGATGAAATCCTTTAGGTGGAAAAACACCGCATGTGCTTTGGGAGTGACTGAAGTATTTGGCAACTTCAGGTACGACTCCTGAAACTGTAAAAAAATTTTGTTCAAAATCGGGGGTCAAGTGATTTCCAAAGCAAGCATTCACCACTGAGTCAAAATGTCTCAATGTTTCAACAAATGGCACAGCAAGAAAAAATGAGCTTTGCTCAGCTAAACTTTGAAGGCGATTAGTGTTTTTCAAGAGCTTGCGGCAGTCATTCCCTGCAAATTGGCCACCATGAAAAGACTGCTCTTGAATATATAAGAAAGCAGCCGTAGCGCAGTGGTAGCACACTTGCCTCAGAAACGTAAGATCTGTGGTTCAAACCCCGCCTCTGGGCAAGTTTTGCGACATCGGTTGGGAAGGAGGCGTGAACTTCCTATTAAATGCTCTTCCGCGGTGCTCTGTGATAAGACCGTAAGGACTTCTTGGGGCACCTAAAATCAACATAAAAAAAAATATATATATATATATATGAAGGGCTGCTGGCCATTCCTTTGCTGTGAGCCAAATCTGGCATAAACTTTTGTAGAGATGGTTAACGACTCCGAGAAGCAGATGAAGTTTCATGGGAGGAATGATGTCCAAAATCAGTGTGTCATCTGGCAGAGTCATTATGGGTTCATGGATGACGTTTTTGAAGTCTTTTGCTCTCCTTGCATTGGCACCACTGCTTTGAAACTGCAGAAAGTTTTCTCGAATTGAACCAAGTGTTCTGAGACTTCCAGAGCGACTCAAATCTTTTGATTCTGCATCACACCATGAACAAGGATGTGCACTTGCATGGGACTGAAGACCACAAACAAGATTGGCGACTTTCATGTTACAATAGATTATGTAGGAATGTTTGTGAAGTTGAAAAGTAGAAATTATGCTTTTCAAGTTGTCATAACTCTCTGGCAGATCTTCTGAAATTGCCACCAGAAGTTACCGTTTGACTCCTGTGGCTTTAAGCCCTCGTTTTGGTGGTGGAGAATTTGAATCTGTGTTTCTGGCAATGATTCCAAGAGATACTTTCAAAAACCCACCACCTCCATCAATGCCAATCTTTATCAGCGGATCTCCTGAAACATTCATTACTTTGATAACGTGATTTGCAAGACTTCCTACATCTGGGCAAAAAACAAGCAGTTGTGAAGGGTGCTGGTCATCATTCTTTGTAGAATCTCGTATGGCCTTGGTCTCAAAATGCTCAGAAAGAGATTTCCTGAAACTGTCGAATTTTTCTCTGAAATTTTTTTCTACAATCCGGAGAGGTGTAGCTTGGTTCAAAGATGATGCCAATTTGGACATGCCACGATTTGACAATCTAGTTCCAATTTGGACTCCAACCATGTCTTGTGCCGTGAGCTTGGGCACAGCAGGAAACAATTCTCTTGCACTTGATGGTCCTAAAGAACATTTAATGGCCGAGGTTAAAATTTTCTACATTTACATTTTAAAAGAAATTTATAAGTGATTTATGCTTAAATCTATATTGCTTTACCTGGAACAACGGGAAAACGATTTCCTCCAAGTGGTTGACTTAGCCGAACAGTGCCATAAGGTGATGGAGTTTTATTAGAAATTGTTAATGATGCTACCCTCTCTGCCGCAATGCGATCCCTCGAAGCAACTTCCACTAAATTTTGCCTTAATGTTCCTGTTGTGCAATTGTGAAGCAATCCACGACCAATCACAGAGAAGCAATCAGTGCACCTTTTTTCATTGCTTCAATTTTCTTTCGGTTTCGGTGGTTCCGAAGAATGACGCTGATTCATATTTGTCCTTGCAGTTTGACAAATCAAACAATTACAAGGAATATTTGTTGCAGCACGCTGAACTGAGATGGTGCTGAAATCAAAGAGCCTTGGGATAGGTGCATCCTCCCGTTCTTCTCGTCTGCAAATAGCCACACGACATCTTTTACAAATTCCACAAGGGATTTGAAAGTTTGAAGAATCAAGCTCAATTTTGAGGACTGTGCAAATTTTCTTCACTAAAAAACTTGTGATTTCTCGATTTGCCTTCTTCAAACATAGGAAACAAACACATTTTTGGTTTTCTTCATGAGTTTTACCTTTGTTCGGCATTTTATCAAACTTTCAATGTGTCTTATTTGAAAAAAACTGAATGTGCACCCTTTTCCCGGAATTAGCAAAATTGAAAAACAAACAAAAAATAATAATGATTTCAAAAAACCTGCTCCCATTAGTTATATAATGTCTTAAAATGTACTCTAAGCAACGTAACAACAAAAATGCTGTAAAAATGCCAAATTCCTATCATCTCATTTAAATTTTGATATGCCAGAATTGAAGAAAATAAAAACTAAAATATCTCTCTCGGACGTCATAGTTCGATTTCCAAATTTATATCTAAGTGATCTACTATATGTGGGCTATCATCCCACCAAAGGGTTTTCTTGGGACATGAGGTTAAGGTTGATGGCCATTTCGTGACACTGTGAATATAACTATTTTGATATGGTAAGCAAACACATTTTTGAATTATATCAGTTCTTTGAATAAAATATTTTATGGAGCAGGCATTTTCTTTAATATAATATATATCAAGGTCTCTTTAGTCAACAAAATGAGTAAAAAAATATTCAAGTGCAGATTTTGGATACAATTCACATTGAAAGCCTCCATCTTGACATATAGCAGAGACATTAACAACACCATTCCGAACCAAATAACATAAATCTTTTTTACCAACTCGTATTTTAAAAATACTTTCTTCCTTTTAAGTTGGATTATCTTCAAGCTCACTTTGTCTCAAAGCAATTTGCATAACTGGATTATGTTTTCCCCGAATTAATCGCTTAATCTCATACAAGTAGTTTTCAAACTGAAAAGCAGATATTTCATCTAAACTACACTAAAAATATTCCACATCGTCAGCAATGTGTAACAGTCCATGTACATTATATACACAAAAAGAGGAGCCATAATGCTCTTTAGAATTGTTAACAGAGTAATTAAGTAACTGTCTAGCTGACTCAATGTTACTATTTCGTTTAATAGTGTTCTTCTCGCATAGCATTCGAATAGCAACTGACAAACTCAAAAAATGCTTGTAACTTTGTTTACTTAACACAATTTTTAGTACAACCAAACCAGTGTAAAGAAGAAAACTTCGTAGCTCTGTAGCTTTCCACCAATTCAATTCTGATAATGACCTTGGTTGGCGGACAAACTCACTTGGTAATCTTCCATTGAATTTTAACAACTGCTCAGAAATTATATTTTGCTGTGCAGAAGACAACCGACCATCAAATATACCACTATATGTACCTTTAAAATAATACAATATACGCCGTACCACTCCAAGGCAAACTAAATGCATATAGTCTAATACAAAATCTTGTATAAAATTAATTGTCAATGGAAGCAGACATGAATAAGAGTGTTGATGTCTCTTCCCACTATTATCTGAAAAGGAGTAAGAATGGTTAAAAAACATATCATTATTGCGTAAAGCAACATTTTTTTCTAAATCATCAAACACAGTCCTTTTGTGTTTTTGGATACCTCTATTAGTGCATCTTTCACAAGAGTAAAACCCAGTATGGTTAACAATGCCTTTTAATAGTGCTCTTGCTGGGGCATCACATACAAAGCAAAATACTGATAAGATATATTGTTTACCCTTGAAGTTTAAAACTGATCTAGATAAAAGTTCTTTCAACTCTTGCACTATGCGTTGCTCTTATACAAAATAAGGAAATAGGCATATAAATAAAGAAGGACTTAAAATATTTAACTTATTTTTTCACAAGACATCAAATTTTTATTTATATTTCTATATTTAAAAGAATCATATTTGGTTTTCATAAAAAAACAATTTATTGTATTTTTTTTTCGGTTAGTCCGGACTAATTCTAGATTTGTCCGGAAAACTACACAAGTCCGGATGATTTTATTCAAAAAAAAGTAGGCGCCTATATTTTATAGAATTTTACAAACTATGTATATGAACACTATTTCAAAATAAACAGTATCATTGAATATAATAAACAACTCTGCTATCATATGATACTTGGCTCTTTGCATTCTTTCACAGTTTCTCAACGTTCTATTCTAATAGATGTTTTTAATAACTTGTGGCTACGAAAATAGCCGTTTTTTTAAAATTCAACGCAGAACAGCTCATCAGTATGATTCTTCATGGTCTTACTCCCTAAAATAGTTAATTGCTTGTTAAAATTGATTAAATTGTTAATTAACCAAAATTATGAGATTGCCTAACCAAAAAAAAAATCAATCAAAACTATTAACAATATTAATAATAAAACTATTTTACCTTTATTTTAAGCAGTTATCAGAAGAACTGTCACTTTGCTTTCTTAAACTATTTTGTTTTCACTCTTTTTTTATCCATTTTATTTTTTTTGCAAAAGAGGTACATATTAGATGTCATAAACAAATAATTAGCTGTATCCCTAGTGTTTTCTGCAAAAGAGGTTAAACGAGCATGACCAATTCGAGCAGTTTTGTTTTCCTTATTTCTGGCTTCAATAGCACTCTCAGACAAAGAACCTATCGGATACTTAAAATACCTTATAAAAGAAGTACCATGAACTATCACTCTATGCACAGATTGTGACATAAGTATGGTTTTTAAAAATTTATCATTAGTTATGAGTGCAAATAGATGTTCAGATTTCTGTTTGAAAACCTTTATATCCGGTCTTGTAGTTGTTCTGTTTATATCAATGAGTAAATCTCGAAACAACTTAATCATTCTGATATCCAAGTTTAAAATTCTCCCTGTCACAATCGGGTTATTAAAAAATTTGCGAGCAACATTTCCAGTATTGGTTGTTCCACATCCTTTCCTGATAAAAGAAACCCTTATATTCAGTTGTATCTTGAATAAATACTGGAATTTTTTTTTGTTTTCAATAAATTCTTTACTCTTTTGTGATGGAATATTTCTTCCTTGCTTAACAGCTGGGAGTTTACAAGCAGTATTGAAAATCCACTCCATACAGCGCTTCCATAGATGAAGACTGCAAATTCCAAGTTTCAAAACATGCTTGTTTAAATTAATAATTTTTTCCAAATAGTTTTCAAGTTAAACTCTTTAGAATTTGCAAGGCATACATGGCAGGACTGAGATAAAAAAAATTTTTTAAGCATATTTGATACAACAGCGTTTTGTGTTTTGCCATCATTCATTGTGGTATAAATAGTTGACAAACTAGACTTTACTACAAAAGTACTTTCACCAAGTTTAAATTCAATATTCTTCAATAAAAAAATTTCATTTTTCAAATGTTCAAATTTTTCCTGAATAAAACTAGCAGTCTCTTTTGCAAAACAAAAAAGAAGATGACGGGTTGCATCTGGACTATTTGGAATTAAATTTTTCCATATTATTTTTTCTCCACTTCGGATCTCCAGCAGTACAAACACTATACTATTCACAGAGCGATCATCTACACCTCTTTTCATAGTTGCTGAATTTTGAAACTCAGATTGATCACTTTGACCATCACCTACTTTGCAAATAATTTGTACATCACGCTCTTCCTGTGATAAACTCATTATGCAGTTACTTTCATAATCCAAAAGATATTCAAACACTCTAGAAACTGAATGCTTTATCATATGGAAAAGACTACATTTTACTTTGGTTTCAGAATACTCAACCTGTTCTTGATATGTCAATTTTTTGTATTGCTTCAACTTGGTTAAACCTGGAGGAACAAGATGACGATTATGAGTCACTATATTTTTAAATTCAGTCCATGTTCTATCTGTAAGTTTCAAATTACAAAGAGCTTGCAATGACAAATTTGAACCATATAAAATAGCCCTACCATCAATAGAAGAATTAGATTTAAACCTTTTGACAGCATGTTGCAGTTCTTCCACTTCTCATTCTCTAAGACTATCTGTTCTTTTACGCTTCATCCTGTTTGTAAGCTTAATAAAAGACTTTCTAGGTTTTGGTGTACAAGATGTATTGACTGCAGATGATTTAGGTACTCTACATAGTACACTATAAATAATAAAAAAATACATTGAAACATATATACATTTTGAAGGTTTTGTGAAACATAGTCAAACAATATGTATGTGTGTGTGCAAAATAAAAAGAGGGAGATACATTTATCTATGCATACTGTTTACATTGGATCCATGAGTACGAAGCAGTAATTCCCCTTCTTTTATTTTACGCTCACCCTGCTTGATGAGTTGATTACTCTGTTTAATCAGATTTTCACCTTTTCTAATTATAATTTTTCTAATGATAATAGTTCTTCCTTATGTGTTCAAATTTCTTTTTCGGAATCTTTTTCTAATCTACACGCACAAGTATAATATATATATATATATATATATATATATATATATATATATATATATATATATATATATATATAATATATATATATATATATATATATAATATATATATATATATATATATAATATATATATATATATACATATATATATATATATATATATATATATATATATATATATATATATATATATATATATATATATATATATATATATATATATATATATGTATATATATATATATATATATATTTATACTATAATGCAATATTTATTACTTATTTATAATAAATCAATATAAAATATATAATACTCACAAGAGATATTTGCATTGTTGATTTTGATCCAAAAAATGTTTATATTTAGTAAGAAAGAACTTTTTTTTTTTTTCCACACTCATTAAATTTTTTTATTAAATTAAAAGCCAGATTTTTGAAAATGTTGAAATTCACAGTGCAATCAGCATAAAGTGATAAAAACTTGGACTGCAAAAATTTAGCACATTCAGATACATTTTTACTCGTGAAAATATGCCTTGGAGGAAAATTATCAGCCAGAAGTTTGCTAAGATTAAAAGTAACCATTTTTAAAAAATTCTAAATCACGATGAGAGCCAAACTTAGGTTATAACTTAAAGACTAGAAAAGAATGTTTCGCCCGCATCCAGTTTCTTCTTAACAAAAACTAACTAACCAGTTTTTAATAAATCCACCTCTTTTAAATTGATTTTATAGCATGTTACTACAGAGGTAGCCAGAATATTATTTCACTTATAAAAAGTCAATTTGTTTGAGAAAATTTAAAAAAAAATAAAAAACTGGCTACCTCTGTAGTAACATAGTCTAATCGATCAATCTTTACAGACACCCAAAAACAATGATCCAAACATTATTTTTTTCTTTTCTTGGTTTTTAATTTACGAAATGTATCATTTATTAAAAAATGTGCAAAAAAAATGAAGAAATTCGAAAATTATCTTATGTAATTTAAAGATTTAGTGAAAACATGGGTTTTTTTACCCCTGAAAATCCCGCACCTAAAAATGCAAATTTAAAAAAATTAAAAAAAAACTTTTTTTTATTAACTAATACTAACCTGTTTCAGTTAAAAAATATTTAAAATATTAAAATTGAAATTTTTTTTCTGAAAAGTAAGTAAAATCCTATTTCCGCTTCGCGACGCATAGTGTCTTGAACAAATTCTGAAAGAAATTTTGACATTTTTGGTTTACATTTGCCACCAAATAAGCCTACCATAAATGGTTTAAACTTTCCAAACTGAAGTAAGATTGGCCATAGTTGATACAAGCTAGAATTCCATATAGGTAGACCATCTATATTTATATTTAAACATATATTCTGCGATTGATATTCATGTAAACTCAATATTCTTTTGATGTTGTTTTCTATACCAAAATAAACATATGCCTCATCATCAACAACCACTATATCATGTATACTCTTTGTACCTAATACTGTACGAGAATCCTTGGGTACAGAATGACCTTTTTGACTGAGAAGCGCTAACAAATCATTCACACATTGCCGGGTACACGCATGTTTTAATGACCAAAGCTTTAATGATTTACAAAATTGAGAATCAAATTGGGAATCTGGAAAAAAATCATTCTCCTCGTCCGAGTTTTCAGAAATATTTTCTGCAATTGATTTGCAAGATATTATAACAGAAATAGCATTCTCCTCATTGCTTGCCAAAACATAATTATTAATTGACTCACTGGAAGAAACGCTGTAAAGCTTTCCACTACTATCATTACTGCCTGAACTTGAAAAGCTGCAGTTTAATGGAAAACATTGACTATTTGAACTATTATGTCGATTAGAGCTAAAACTTGGAATTTCTCTATCAACTTTGTGTTGGCTGAGAGAAACCAATTCAGATAAAGCATGCACAGTACTACGACGACGGCGCCATTGAAAATTTCGGTCCCTTTTGATAAAATTTAAAATAAGCATAATTAAATTACAAAATAAATTTGAAAAAAGTCTTGGCTAGTCCGAAATACTAAATTAAATATAATAGGTGAAAAAATTAAATCACTGTGGTTAACGAAAGAAATCGTGTGCCCATTAAAAAAAAAGAAAAAAGGAGGACTAATTTCAAATTTCAAGCATCTTTTACTAAAAGAATTTATTTATAAATTAATATGTGGAATTAAATTATGCGAAGTTTGAAAAATTCTTGAAAGTTTCAGAGCATTGTATAAATGAAGCTTCGATGCCTAACTAAGCATTTAATTAAACTTGCAAAGTTCTTCAGAAAAAAAAATCTGTTGGTGCCCTTTAATGTGACATTAGACATCATTAGCATTTCCCTAATGATTAGGAAAAACTTGTTCCTTCATGTTTAATTTAAAAAATCATTTATATAATTTACTAAATAAGTTTTATATTATAAAACTAATTTAGTGATACTATGAAATTAAATTATTACCTTATCTTTTTCACTTTTTCTGAACGTCAATTCATGTTGAAATAATATCTACGTTTATAATATTAGGTTAATGAAGAATAATAAAACTTTATAACAAACTATTGAATGAGTTTAAAAAACTCATTAACCTCGTTAAACAGTAGCTGTAATCTTGTTGAATAATAGTTTAAACTTCGTTGAATAGTAACTTTAACCTCGTTGAAATAAAATCTTTTAACTGGTTTAATTAAAATCCCATTAGTTGATGGAAAATCAAATGATCTTTTAGTTCTTTATTGTCCTGTATTTAAGTAACGGACGGTATATTTCAATTTAACTTCTGTAACAAAATTTCTTCCTCTCTACATCCTACACTGTAAGTCTAAATGGTTCTTTGAGAGTTCTTTGACGCACCAAATGGTTCTTTAAATTCATTTCGGGTTCTTTAACTAGCTAACGGGTTCTTCGCGCAGTTGTATGGTTCTTGATCAAATTTCGGAATTTCGATAAGGTTCTTCGTGTTTTTAAACAATTTATAAGGGTTCTTTATATATCTCGCATGCTTATTGGAGTTAAACGCTTAATGGTATTTTGTAAAAAGCATTTAAAAAAATCTGATTTATAATTATTTGAATTTAAAGTGTTTCGTTGGTTTTTGGTATGGCAGAACATTTAAATTGGAATGTAGAAGATGTCTGCAGATATTTAGAATTAAAGGGACTTCCCGAATTGAGACAGAAAATTACTGGTTTGATTGTTGTTTTAATTTTTTTATTTTATAATTATTTTTGAACTTTAATATTTTTTTTTAGTCTAGTCATTTTTAACTTAAATTTAAGTAAAATATTTTGGAATGGCAGCAAATAGTAATATTATATGCTTTACCTGTTCCACATGCGGTATACATAAGTATTCTATGCAAAAATATTTAGATCATTTGCATATTATGCATGAGCATACAGCTGGTTATCTTGCTGTATGTAATATTGATGGTTGCCCAGCATCCTATAAATCTATAAAATGTTTGCGTCAGCATATTAGAATTAAACATACTACAATTTACTATTCAATTAATTTGTCAACAAACGTCTGCACTACTTCAACTGCTGAAATATTAGAAAACGAATATTTCGAAAACTGTGATGATCAAAGCAAAGGAAATGAATGTGACAATGCAACTATCAGTTGTTTTCATTCTGATTCACCTGATTTGTCTATGTCATTAGAAAAGTTGCTAGACACCTTGCAGCAGCATTTTGCTCTGTTTATTGTCATAATAGCTGAAAAGCATTCTGTTCCATCTGTGGTGCAAATTGATTTGGCTAATGAAGTCCAATCCTTGCTAACTTATTATAATAATAATTTTTGTAGTATTATAAAACAGGAATTAGGCAACAGCTTAGTATCAAATGAAAATTTACAAAATTTGTTAAACAATGAATTGATTTTAGATAGAGTTTTATCAGTTGTTAACTCCAGCAAAAAAATTATTGCCTTTAGTAAAGCCAATTTAGGACTTATTTTGCCACTTGAAATAAATTTGTGTAGTAAAGATGATATCTTAGATGAAAATGATTTTTGTGTAGATTCAAATTGTGATCATCAAAATAGTTTACCTAAAAGTGCTATTATTGGAAACGCTTTTGGTGATACAACTTGTAATAATGATAATAACACAAACATTAAAGAGTCTTTTCAATACATTCCAATTTTACCACTGCTTAAACAGTTAATTGAAAAAGAGGAAATATGGAATTCTATAAAACGAAAATTAGAGAATGATTTGTCTGTGAAAACAAATTTGCTTTATTCATATTCAGATGGTTTTATTTGCAAGCACCATAACATTTTTAATAACAAGTATGCTTTAAGACTCCATTTGTATATTGATGAATTTGAGGTATGCAATCCGAATGGAGCTCATCGTAAAGTACATAAAATATGTGCATTTTACTTTTTCCTGGGTAACATTGAAGATAAATATATATCAAGACTTCAAAATATATACTTATGCATTCTTGTTAAAGAAAAATTAATTAAAGAACATAAAACATACAAGGATGTTTTGAAACCTTTCATTCAAGATTTAATAACATTACAAAATGAAGGCATATTAGTTATGGTTGATGGCCAACAGACACGATTATATGGTGGCTTAGCAACAATCTCTGCTGATAACCTTTCAGCCCATGCACTGGCTGGTTTTCGTCGTGTTTTTAATTCTGGTTTTTTTTGTCGTCAGTGTATAACTTCATATACAAACAAAAATAATATATTTTCTGAGCTTGATGCAACACTTCGTACTGATGAAATCCATCAGTATCACTTGGCTGCTATTTATGGCCAAGTTCAAATTTCATCAAGTATGTACGGTGTTGAAAGGCGTTGTCCTTTTTTAGATTTATCATATTTTAAAGTTATGCAATCGTTTCCACCAGACATAATGCATGACATGCTGGAAGGTACAATTCCTCAATTAATTAGTCTATTATTGTTAAAACTCAAAGAAGATAAGTTAATTTCGATTGATCAGATAAATGTAGAGCTTAATACATTTCAAATAGGTAGAAATGACAGATTGAATAAACCAGTTCCATTTGTTGTACGTTCTGCTACTTTTATTAATTTTATTGGATCAGCCTCACAAAAATATTGTATGTTTCATTTGTTACCATTTATGATAGGGAATCGTATACCAATGTCTAACAAATATTGGTTGCTGTATTTACAGCTTAGAGAAATAGCTGATTATGTGTTTGCTCCAAAAATTTCTAAATCGGTGTTATCGTTTCTGCAATTTTTAGTGGAGCAGTTTTTGCACAATTTTGCTGAACTTTTCCCAGACAATTTTACACCCAAGTTTCATTTCATGCTTCATTATGCTCGTCTTATTATTGATTATGGGCCACTACGTTATTTATGGTGTATGCGTTTTGAAGCAAAACACTTGTATTTCAAAAAATTGGCTTCTTCGATTAGAAATTTTAAAAATATTGCCTATTCGCTTGCAAAATGACACCAGTTACGGCAGTGTTGGGAGATGACATCCTCAGATTTCTTCAAAGAATATGAGAAAACTTATAATCTTTGTTCCATTATGTTTGAAAGTTTAGCAGCTTCTATTCAAGAAAAACTAGTAAGTTTTTTTGGTTATAGTATTACTGATAAGAAAGAAACTATTTGGAAGTGTAGCAGCTTGCTTATAAATGGAATCCAATTTCATGTTCATGATACAGTGATTCTAGCTTTATTACATGTGGAAGAAATACCATTATTTTTTAAAATCTATCATATTATAAGATTTCGTCATCACTGGGTGTTTTGTGGCAAGTTTCTTATTTGTGATAAATACTCTGCTCACTTGCATGCCTTCAGAGTTGTGGAAGAAGCAGATTTGACAATATGCTTACCAGCAGATGTTCTTGATCACCAATTGATAGACACATGTTTTGCAGGATGGGTGCTTTTATATTACACTCAGATACAGTTGTTTTTTATAGAATCTCTTTAGATTTTTATTATAACAATGTTGTAGTTAACTTAATATCATTATTTGGATACTTTTTTTCTTGCCAAAATGTATTACATGTGCAAATACTTTGCTTTTATTTTTATTTATTAAAATAAAATAAAATATTTATTGTGTTATTTTTTATGAGAGCTGCCGCGTCTTTAGCTGATTAAATATTTTATTGCATTAATTAATTTAAAATCTCAACATTTACCCTTTCACAATTTTTGTAAGTATTTTATTATAGTGGAAGAAATTGATGGAAAAACGCTGGTGTCTTTAACTGAGACAATGGTGGCCAGTTTATGTCAGACAATTCGTCGGCAAGTAGTACTCATTGAAATTATAAGGCATCTTATAACTTCACATGAACAGCACGAAAGAACTAGCTCTTAGTAAACAAATTTTTATTTTAGCTTATATGTTACTTTTTAATTTTTAAATTTATACTTAATAAGTTGTATCTGATATATATCACTCTTAAATTAGTTGTTCATAAAAGGTTTTGTTTTTTACAAAAAGAAAATGTAATTAGAGTGCATAGTAATTGAAATAATATATTAATTAGTGTTATTGAAAATGATGTTTTAAATACATCAATAACATCCCCAATATCTTGTGATGAAGATGGTAGTATGATTGCTGGAGTGTCCCAAAGTATGAAACCATGGCCAGTGTGTTATCAACTACCCATTTTGCCTCCATCAGTAAATGCAGCTTTAGATGCTAAAGATCATTGTTTTCTTAACTTGAATTGTAGCAAATGTAGGAACCAGCTTTTACAATGTCTTTATGACGACATCAGCAGATAATATATTAATTAGTGCTATTGAAAGTATATATATATATATATAGTATGATTGATAATATATATATAATTTTTTTTTTAAGTTTCTAAATGAAATGAGATTAAGATTGCCAAAGATCTTGACAAACAACTCCACCAATGTATGGGTGGAATGGCTGACAAAATTATGCAACTCGTAAAATCAAAGCATAAAGATGATGTAGTAAATGCAATTTCTGCAGAAATTGAGTGTGAACTTGATGACTCCATGAAGAAAGGTAATGTTTAATATTTGTGTCGCAATATTTTATAAAATGTCAGCAATGTAAAGTAAAAGTAAATTAAATTTTGATTTAAAATATTAATGATTTCGATTATTAGTAGTTCTGATTTCGATTATTAGTAGTTGCACATGGCCTTATACAACCCTTGGAATTAGGATCTACATTCGGCAATGGTGACCTAACTGTTTTTGAGGTCATCGAGTTTTTGCTGATTGTTTCGAATTTTATACTAGACTTTTTTTTTTTTTTTTTAATTTTATACTAGACTTTTTCAACAGTGTATTCATTCCATCTAAACAATATAATAAGCTTTTTCTACCTAATTCTAAGGCCTGGTCTTGTATTTTACTATTAACAATATTTTATAAATAATTTGTTACATTACAGATGCCACATTAAATGCAGCCACTATTGTTTTACCAAGACTGTTCAAAGAATCTATAGACTGCCTGGTTACGTTTGACATCGAACCATTGCAGAGTACGCCAACTATCAAAGTGCCAAAAAAACAAAGGCTAATAACAAAAGACTGTTGTGTAATGTTGGATGGTTGCAACATAATAGAGCATTTCAGCGATGTTGATGTTTCGTTGGCTATATCGTGTGTTTTTGCATCGTATTATATATATAATATTTAATATCCAGCGCAATTGAAGAACACATTGTTGTTCTATGAACATATTGTTTATGGATTGTCTACTAAAGCATCACCAGTGACTATAACGAGAATGGCAAATACTTTGAATGAGTAATCAAATTGATTTATTATGTGTTTGTAATTATATATTTGCATAGTCAATAATTCAGCTTTTTTTTTACCCTTAAAATTAATTGTTTATGTTATTCTGGAGTGGTTTTACATTTATTTTAATAATTATGCATTGAGTCATATGTTGCAACATACGTGGATTCTTAAAATACTCTTAAATACTATTATAAATGCTTATTTTTTCATAATAAAAAAATGTTTACAATATATTATAATATTGTATATAAACTATTATAGTAAAAAAGTATAGATGCTATATTTTATATTAAATATAAAACATTTCTTTAGATGTTGATTTTCTCTAGATATATAAAATAAAATAGTTATTATATTATAGTTATAGTTATATAGTTATAATAAAAACAATATAAATTGATTTATTTATTCATTTTATTATTTTTTAACTCTCCTTCTAAAATCAGAAATAAAAAAAAAGTACTTTTTGTAAAAAGGAAACATTTATTAAAATAAAATTAATTTACATTATTAAATTAAAAAGGAATTAAATATGGTTTTGAAAAGAATTAAAAATAGTCGCTAAGGTAATGCCTGTGTCTCTCTTGCAACAAAATATAACATTTTGAAGGCAATTTATGCGAAACTGTATGAAAGGTTCTTTGAAGAACCTCAACGGGTGCTCAAATATAGCACGCATGGTAGAGTTCTTCGAAGATCCCTAAGTAGTTCTTTAAAGAACCTTTACGGATGGTTCTTGCGAAGAACCATTTTATAAGGTTCTTTAAAGAACCTAAAAGGGTGCTCCATTGGCATAACCGCTAAAAACCTTTAATAGTTCTTCCGAGAACCATTCGGCTTAAGAGTGTACGGACGTCTAATGGACGTCTGTTTTTATTCATTTAAAACTGTATAATAATAGACCTCCGTAAGACGTCGTTAGGACGTACAATTTGATTAGGAGACAGACGGGCGGGATTGTAACGTCCTCTAGACGTTGTGCGGACGACGTATGCCCGCTGGGTAACAAATCAAATTTCATCTTAAGAAATTTTACGAACCCTCCAAAGCAAGTCTCGATCACCAAGCTAACTTCAAAAACAATATATGATTTTTTAATGAAAAAAAAAATACGGTCTGGGTGTAAAAACCTTATACACCAGATGGAACTCCATATTTGAAAGAAGTATGACGGGAACCTCCTCAATAGAATGGTCCCTCCTCTTTCAAAACATATTTAAAAGAAATAGGAACAACAAAGCAAACGAAATAAAATATAAAGCCAACCACTTCGCGCTACCCACAAATTCTATCTTTAAACGCAGAGGTCATGCACCGGATGTTCTTTGCCCTCAGTGTATCACTGAAGGCAAAGGTCATCTCACATGATATATAGTTGCGAAAAAGTTCAACCCTTAATTAAATACACTATTTTTTTGCTAAATAAGATTTATCCAAGCAGTAAACCTTTTAAAAACACTTTTAAATTTTATCTTTTTGGTTTTGTTGAAAACGCGCAAAACTTTTATATTGGAAATTTATTGCTTGGCGAGCTTTTATATTATGTCTATACGATACGTATGAGAGCTTATCATGAGAGAACTACAAGCGCAAGAATAAACCTTTTAAAAGAATATATATCTAAAATTAAAAAAATACTTCAAAGAAACATGATATTGCAAAAGAAAACAATCAACTAAATTGGTTCTTAACCGAAACGAGACGAAAACAGTAATCTAAAACTAGAAAATAATCTAAATCGATTTCTGAGTTAAATCAAATCACCTAATATTTTTTGAAATATCCAATTTTTTATTTTTTTATTTTCATTTTTTAATTTTTATTTTATTTTTTTATTTTTAATTTTTCCCACTTTTCTTAACTTTTCTTTGCTCGCTTATTCTTGCTGCGCTCTGTTTCTCGACATGAAAAGCATAGAAATATTTTGTATACTTTCTATGTAATTCTTGTCAAGTAGTCCACAAGGCAATTAGCTTAGCAGGGAAAAAATTAGATTTTTAATTTTGTTTTTAAAAAGACAAAAAGAATTTGGTCGATCAAAATCAACATTAGGTAAAACAAGTTTATTCCATAGGTGCACGATAGGCAAGACAAAATTGATTAAAATTTGTTTGACAAAAAGGTTTCTTAAAATTTTTTTTTTTTTTAAGAGTGTATTTGTTGCTGGGTTTTAAACTAAAAAAATCTTTAAAGAATGGGGGGATAGATTGTTTTTCCACATATAAACAAAGCATAAAATTTTTAAAACGTTGAGTTCAAATACATTTAAAATTTTCATTTCAATAAAATAAGGTTTACAATGAGAAAAACGATCAGCAAAGTTAATTATGCGAATTGCTCGTTTCTGACAGCGATAAAGACGAAGTAATTTACTTTTTTCAGTACTTCCCCAGGCAATATTAGCGTAGTTTATGTAGTAGTGAATAAATGAGAAATAAAGTTGCCTTAAGTGTTTCTTATTGAGATAAGTTCGAGCTTTGTACAAAACTCCAATGTTTTTAGAGACTTTAGTGCATATATAGTTAATATGTTGATTCCAATTAATATTCTCATCGAGATAAACACCTAAAAATTTAATAACGGAGTCTCTTTTTATTTCAATTTCATCAATAAAAATTGGAGGCAAGTTTAAGGGTAAAAATTTTTTTTTCCTATTCGAATGAAAAAGAGTCCATTTAGTTTTGTCAGTATTTAAAGTTAATTTGTTGGATTTGAACCAGTGGGATAAAAGTTTAAGTTCTTTATTCACTGTGGCAAAAAGCTCGCTAATATCGCTCTTAGAGATGAATAAATTAGTATCATCAGCAAACATGATGCTCGTCAGATTAGTTGCTTTATTTAAATCGTTTATATAAATTAAAAAAAGGAGAAGTCCGAGGATTGAACCTTGTGGAACTCCACAGGTTATACTTAAACAATTGTTGTGATTGTTGTCATTACCAACAACAAATTGTTTTCTATTTGTTAAGTAACTTCTGAACCACCTTAACGCTTGGTTATTTACTCCATAGTATTTCAGTTTTTTGAGTAGGATGTGATGGTCAACCGTATCGAAGGCCTTCGATAGGTCGATAAAAATACCTAATGTATATTTTGATTGTTCAAACGATTTTGAAATTTCATTTACAAGTTGGATAATTGCATGCTCTGTTGAGCTATCCTTTTTAAAACCAAATTGATTAACATAGAGTAGGTTATTTTTGTCAAAGTGTTCTGTTGTACATAATTCTTTCTAGGATTTTTGAAAATACAGAGAGCACAGAGATGGGGCGATAATTACTTATTTGGGATTGGTCACCATCTTTATAAATAGGTGTAACTTTGGCAATTTTTAATTGTTCTGGAAAGATTCCTTGTTTAATTGAGGCATTAAAAACTTTGAAAAGAACATCTTTTAGTTGCTTAAAGCAATCTATTATCACATTTCCATCTATTTCGTCTGGTCCACATGATTTATTCTTTTTAATAGATTTGAGCGCCTTTTCAAGTTCTTCAATTGATAAACTCATCAGAGCATATGCACTTCTCCAAGGATAATAAAAAGTCACTAAACAAAGTTCTTGTGATAGGAATCTTATTTGATAGTTTAGGACCTATTTCAGTAAAAAATTTATTAAATTCATGTGATATAGCGTTTGGTCCAAATATGCTAGTGTTTTCTATTTTAATCATTTGTGGCAGAAAACCAAAGCATGATTTTTGTTTTCCTATAATTTCCTTCATTATTTCCCAAGTGCGATTGGTGTTATATTTGAATTTGTTAAGTAATTCCGAGTAATATATTTTTTTTAAGTTTTTACGAATTTTCTCAAACAAATATTTATAGTTTTTGTAAATTTTTTCTTTTGCAGTTGTTTTTGTTTATAGAAAATTTATATATAACTTTTGTTTGATTTTGGAAGATTTTTTAAACCCCTTGGTAATCCAGGGAGAATTCAAATTCTTAGGTTTTGCTATTATTTCAACTACGGGAAAGTTAGCGTCGTATACAGAATAGAAAGTTTTGAAGAAAGTTTCATATAAGTCGTTTGCATTATTGTTTATGTTAATATTATTCCAATGGAGTAAGAATAGTTGGTCTTTGAATAAATTAAGATTATTTTGATTAATGATACGTTTCTTCAATACTTTTTTGTTGTCAATGTTTTTTGCTGTATATGTATCAATTGTTACAAAAATGGGAAAATGGTCCGTTATATCAGTTTTTAATATACCTTTTTTTATACTCTTATTAAAAATATCAGTTGAAATAATATTATCGATTAAAGTCGCTGAGTTTATAGTTACTCTGGTAGGGCGATTAATGAGGGGGATTGATCCTGTTTCAAAAAATGTGTCATAAAAACTTTTTACTTTATAGTCATTGTTATAAAGAAAGCAGTTCATATTAAAATCTCCTAGCAAAATATTTTTTTTCTTTTCGGTATCGCCTTTTTTAATGACGTTATGCAAAAACATTCTAAGGGGTTCACTCATGCCAGCAGGTGGCCGATAACAACAGCTAATTAATAAGTTTTTTGTTTGGTTGCTTTCAATTTCAATTGTTAAGACTTCTTTGTCGCTATCAGAAATGCTCAAATCGCCTCTAAAAACAAGCCTAAGTGTTTCGTGCGCATAAATTAGTACTCCACCACCTCGTTTATTTATTTGTCTCTCCAAAGAAATAATATTAAAATGCGGAATTTGAAAATGAATTTAGATCTTTTGATGTAATCCACGTTTCTGTTAAGCATATTATATTAAAAAGGTTTTTCGTTTCTTCTATTAGATTTATAAGTTTTTCAAAGTTACTATTTAGACTTCTTATAGTGAGGTGGAGAATTCTAATTTGATTCGAATTTTTGTCAATAACATTCTTAAAAAGATACTCTTCTAGTTCGCTTGGAAAAATATACGAACAATCTGAAAAAGTCTCACAATAAAAATTATTGTCGGGATCTGAGTTTTCGTCCTGGAAAAAAAATTATTTTTCGAAAAAATTAAACGCGAGAGATTCAAAATTATTTAATGCAGCCATGATTGTTTTATATATGTTTAAAAGAGTTCTTTTTAAGAGTGTGAATTAGTTTACTTTTTTCTATTGTTATCATAAAAAGAATTTTTAAAACAAATAATTTTATCACACCGAACCGCAACATTCTCTCCGTTTAAACGTCTTTGTTTTACGTCAGTAAACAATTTTTTCCTGATGGCAACGGTTTCGAGTGAAAAGTCTTCGTTAACGAAAATGTTTGTTCCTTTTATTCGTTGTAGTTCTTTCAGTATTTTTACTTTATCTTTATATCGTTGAAGGTTGAGGACTATTGTCCGAGGTTTTTCTTCTGTTTGTCCCCAGAATTCTTTTTCGTCTTCGTATAATCCATCTATTCGTAGATTATTTCTACGTGAACGATCTTCAAGTTTTCGATGTTTTTCTTTTAAAATTTCGTTTTCGATTAATTCCTTTTCTAGTTGTTTGCTATTGTATTCGATTTTTTTATTAATAATGCTTTCGTTAAAGTTTATGCTATCGCTTATTTCTTCAATTTCTTTTTCAATTTTTTTGATTTTTATTACATTTTCATTAGCATTGGTCTCAAGCTTGTCCAATCTTTCGTTTAAAATTTTCAGATTTCCACTGATTATGTCTAGAACTGTTTGTTCGTGTCTTTTAAACATAGCTTCGGTTTCTTTTTTAAACTCATTAAACATTTCTTTTTTAAACTCACAAAACATTTCTTTAAACATTTTCTTTATTTCTTGAAGAGTCAATGCCATAATGATTTACAAGGATGCTGAATTGATTTATAAGAAGATATGTATTTAAATGTTTATATGTTTTTAAAACTTTTTTCTTTCTTTAAAACGCGTCTGTTCGCTTCAACGTTTTAGCGTGGAAAAAAGTCTTTGGGGACTTCTGGTAAAATGACCTCTATATGGCAATTAGCCGGCGGAGGTAAAACCACAGTACCAGAGTTCATGTTAAGTAAACTCCAATCACTACTTTGTCGGCGTACTTTACTTAGGCTAAGCCTAACTAACAGTATGCATTGCACTCTCTAACATCGTGTGCAATCCTGTCCGCTTACTCTATGTTATCTTTCTAACTCGACTACTTCTATTTTTCACTCTAACATATCTTCGTTCTTCCAAAAATCACCTTACTCTCAGTCCGTAGAGCGGGTATGACGCTCCCTCGGGAGCTCAACTAGTCTTGGCGAATTTCTGGTAAAGTGACCTCTATATGGCAATTAGCCAGAAGAGATTAAACTACAATACCAGAGTTCATGTTAAGTGAAAGAAAAGATTATAAAAAGTAGTTAAAACAAGCAACTTAAAACAGAATTTAGTTTATCGTAAACAAATGAAATAGTTAAGTAAAGTAACTAAAATAAACAAAAACAAAGTTTTACCGTTTTAGTACGGTGTAAATAAATTGAATAGCTGTTGAATAATAAAAAATATATATAAAAAAAAACTTTTTTAAAAACAACATTTTAAATGGACTAATAAGTAAAACAAATGTAAATAAAAGTTTTAACTTTTAAAAATGCACTAAAAAAATGAAAATAAAAATATTAAAAAAATATATAATTTTACGTAAAAAAATAAATAACCGCAATAGCGTGAAGTTGTGCTCTAAAAATAGTTTTTTTAGCATGTTTGGAGAAACAAACATATTGACGTCACCAAAAACGGTACGCTATTAAATAATTGGTTTTTGAGGAAACATATTTTTAATATAATATATTAAAAAATCAATTATAATTATATTATAATTTTATTTAAATTAAACAGATTGTTAATATATTTTTTTAATCAAATAAATTTTAAATTAGTTAATGTTTTGAAAATTTAAATTTAGTTTTGAATAGATGTAAAAAAGTTTCGCAATATTTTTTAAAGTAGAATATTTTTTTTTATTATTTGCAGCTAAAAACTTAAAAGTCTCTCCATCATAGATTATAATAAAAAGCAAGTAAAAAAATTTTTGTTTTCGTTTTAAAAAGGGTACTTGTATAGAGAAATCGCATAGATTTTTTGCTTCTTAATATTTCAATATCATGTAAAATTCTTATAACGCAAGTAATATTTTATGTTTTGTTTTTATATGTTTTTATAAGTTTTAATTTACTGCCTTACTAGTAACTGAAAAAAATCTATCAATAAGAGGTGATAAAGCGAACAAAAAATTATTGTATTACGCATAAGTAATAAGAAATAAATTCTAAGGAAATGTAATCTTATTCAAATACCGATATTAGATCGCATCAGTAATTTTTGTTTTAGGTCGCGTTAACTCTGAATTTCATTTTGAGGTGAAAAGAAACATTTTCATTTTTGATCTCCGCTTCAACACATATAAGCGTTTGCAGATTAAAAATCTTAATTGCTTTGACTGATATGAAACTTCATTTCAGGTGTTATTTTAAAATGTAAACCATAGTCTAACAGTTTTGTCTCACAATAGGGAATGACGTGTTATTTTATATAAATGCGAGTATTGGTTAAAATTAAACAAACAGTTGCTTAAAATCAAACTTGGTTATTCAGGGATTATCTTTTTGCGGTTATTTTCAGAATTCTGGATATATTTTGCAACAAAGTTTATCTGAATATCCAAAACATTTTAGGTATATATTTTTGTAATATATTTATTTTTAAGCTTTTTTTACTCATTACTCATAGAAAAAATTATACAATTTGAAAAGTTTGATAAAGAATTTACTAAAAGGAAAATAAGGGAAAACATATTTTGAAGTTTTTCCAAATTTTTTTTCAAACAATTTTCAGGATTTTAAAATCTGATTTTAAAATGTTCATTTCATTTCGCTAAGTCAAAAAATTCCATGCGTAGTGCATGCAACGTGCACAGTTTTAAAGCGGTTTAAAATTAAATTTAATTTCAATGCGGTACTTTAAAATACATTAATGACGTATTTAAAGTTTTAACGACATGCCCAAGTTGTGATAAGTTTTGTAAGCGTTTATAAGTGTTTTTTACTAAATCTCATAACGAGGCCTGATTTTAAAATATAAACTATTTGTTTTTAAAAAGATTAAATGAAGAACAAAACCTATAACACTAGTTTTTCAAAAGAGTTGTATGATGATTATAAAGTTACTGATAACAAAGAAGAATTCATAAAGGAGTATTTGGAAAAAGAAAAAGAAAATGGTGTTACTACTAAATTAGATTTTTATTGTTTGCTTTTATGTCAAGCAATCGAAGAGCAAGACAAAAATATGGTTAAAAACATATTGCAATTACATCGAGCAGAAAATTATCCACAATTATTAACAAATGTTAATAAACATCATATGAGTCCATTAGTCTTTGCTTTGCTTTTTAACGATACAAACGATATAAAAGATATTATTCGGGATTTGTTAAACCAATTATTAAATGAAGGATATTATTTTCAAAAAGTTATCTTAACTAGAGAAGCCTTCTTAGTAATGTATGAAGTTATTGGTTTTCAAGGAGAAGCTTACTTAGAATGTGTAGATGACTTTTTGAAGCCTCTTGTAGTTGACGAAGAAGTATCTATCATAAGAGAATATGATGAAGATTTAACGTTGCCAATGTTAAACAAGCTGAAGTTTTTATAAATTGATTGATGTTACGTATATGATTCAAAGTTACTTGCTACGTTATATATTTTTACGTTAAAATTCTTACGTTATATATATTTTTCTCAAAAAAATATATAATGAAATAAGATATATTTTTTTTTATGTCGGCAAAAATTGTTGTGGCCACGTCAGTGCCGTATTAAGGAGGGAAGGCTAGGGGGGACTATAGCCCCGGGCCCCGCAAATTTAGGGGCCCAAAAAATTTTGGAGGATTTTTTTTTTTAAGTCATTTTTAGTCTCTGGCCCATATAAAAAGCCTCCAAAAACAAAAATAGGCCCTAAGAAGTCTTAATCCGCCACTGTCCCACGTAACATCTACTAGTAACCCTAACCTTAACCCTGCCGGCACGATGGGGGGGGGGATGGGGTTGTATTACTTACACTGCTGAGTTAGGTGAGCATGATGATGTCATACTCACCTAACGTCAAATAGCCTGCTGCTGGGGGCTTCAGTACATACATCGACTGACAAATAGCCTGACTCGCAGTGAAGTGCTGCTACATCGACTGAGGGTTTGGTGTGGGTCAGCAACCTTTTCATTCATTATTCTTCGTTTTCCCTCATCGTTTTTTAAACACGCTCACTTAATTTAGGCTAGCAAAAAAAGTGAGCAATTGCGTATATAAATATGCTATAGTATATATATATATATATATATATATATATATATATATATATATATATATATATATATATATATATATATATATATATATATATATATACATATATATAACATACGCTTACGTTTTAACCTAGATAGGTTAAAACATTTTAAGATGTTTTTTTTAATTTAGTGCCTTATTTCTTTTATAATTCACCCCTGCCCATCACTATTTTATTGAGTTATTTGGAAAATGTGTAAACGACATGGGAAAACTAAAGCCTTAAAAATATGCATTTATGTGCCAATGCCTAACTTAGAAAATATATGTGAAATTAATGCGAACAAATAAACATAATAAGACAACAATTCACAATAAATACTGAAAAAAAGTAGAAACAATTGATAAACAAAATCAAAGTAACAAATAACCAAAATAAAAATGGTTGAAAAACTACGAACAGGCAATTGAACTTATTTAGTTACATTATTAACCCTTTTTAAGGGGTTTCTCTATTGGGTCTCTATATTGACGTTTCCAATGTTTAAAACACCAACTTCTAAAAACTCTCGTCGGAGTAGGGTTCGAAATAACGAAATTTTTTGTTCCGGATAGTTTGTCCGATAAATTGTTTGGCTTGTCGGACATGACCGATACATTTCAACAAAAAATATTTTTACTACAAAACTAATGTCCGATTTTTTATTTACTACCCAGCAAACACGAGTACGTACAAAAAACGTACAATGAACGTTCAGACGGAACGTCTCGGACGCGTTCTAAACTGATTCTAGATTAGACGCTTAAAGACGTCTTTTTCGGACTTTCAAAAGATGTTCTATAGAGACGTAAAAGTTTCATTTGCGTATTAAAGTGTTCATGTTAGAACAGCCGAAATTTGGTCCAGAAAAAACGTCTTTTGAACGTTCAAAAGATGTTCAGAACGTCTTTAAAGCGCTCAAACGACGTTTGTTAAGCTACAAGCGTAGATTAGTAATTGCAGACATATGATAACTGAATTACGCTCACAGCTTAATTAACTTAAAAACCCCACAATTGTAGGTTTTTACCACTGGATTTTAACGTTTAGAAAATATAACCGGAACGTCAGCAAGTGCAGATATAAAACACAATTTGCAGTTTAAACCGTGTTAAAGATTTTACAAAAATATCTTATTACAAAAATATCTTGAAAACTGTTATTATGATTTTCTTTATCCCGTCCAGCTCCGCCTTTTCTATCTGGCGCTCTTTTAAGCATATTTCCAACGCATTTTTCTATTTCCAATTCATCATACTTTGGCATGGCCTCTGCAAAAAATAAATTTAAAATATAAGATTTATAATATATATTATAAATAGCTTAATCAGCCATGCATAATTAAACATTAACCAAAAAAGCCATTTTATTATTGATATGAGTAAAACATAATTGTTTGATTGCATCCCTGAAAATAAAATTCCATTAATTTTAACTTAAAAATAAAAAAGTACAAAAATGATTTTTTATTTTATCAAACCTTTTCGATTATTAAAACCCATCCTTGACTATTTATAATATATTATAAAAAAAATATGTACCAGCAATAACCTTCATCAGATTTGTCTTACGAAACGCATTCTTATTCCTCATTCCATCCATATTAAAACTTGACATTAATTTGTTTGTCATGAGTCTAGGTAGTAAAACGAACTATTAATAAATATCTAGCATATATAAAAGTATGTAACCAAAGAATATAGCTGGCAGAGAAAAGTATATGATTTCTGTTTTATAATCATCTTCCGCCACCATTTTCAGACATCAGCAATTAAAAAAAATTCGGGCTTTATCTTAACCATCATAAATGTTAACTCATATAATCTAGTGTTTTTTATTTCATAAATTTTATGTAAAGCAAAATCTTAAAAACAAAAGATTTAATTAAATAAATACTGAATATTTTTTCAAAGACACATACTTTAAAAGTATTGATTTTACATTTGTATAGCATGAAACATTACCAATTTTGGAAAGCTGAGTTCTCTAAAAAAAAACTATTTAATTATAGAATAAAAACGTATAAATGATGGTATATAAATTTAATGTGCAAAACATAGTAACCCAATATTGTATTATGGCAACCCATTATGTTTAAAATTCCTTATTATTTTAGAAAGATCCACGAAAATTCTATAACAAAAATGCGAAATCACGTACTATTTTGTATCACTTCATTATACTAAAACCTACCAAACGAGTGTGTTGACAAATATCATTCAACCCCTTGTCAAACTCATTAAAATCTTCCAAATCTGACATTTGATTTATAGAATAAGTCGAATCAGGCAATTCATTTCTTTCACCCTGCTTCTTTATTTCTTCTAAAATCTCTTGTAACTTGTGGAGAACCTTATACTGAAATCCTGTAAAATTTAAAAAAGAAATATTTAAAAAACCCAAAAACTTATCTTTATAACAATATAAAAGTTAAAAACTGGCATAATTTTAAGTAAATATTATTGTAAATTATTCCATACTTGCTTCTGTAATGGAAACTTGTTTAATGCAATATTTGAAGTATTTATACTTTCTTGTTCATAGCTTATTGATACAGATGAAGTTGAAATAAATGGAGAATTAGGCTGTGATGAGAACAATGGTTTTAAAATTCGTTGCGGTATTCTCGATTTTAACGGTTGCCGATGGATTGGGGGTAAAATGATAGGATCTTTTCTTTTATTTTGGGAGAAAGATGAAGATGTAAATAATGAAGATTGTGACTCAGTTGATAATACATTAGAAAAAGAGTGAAATGAAGTGAAGGGAAATTTAAATGGTTGTTGGAATGGTGATTGTGTTATAGAAGATTTTCTCTTTACAGCTATTGAATCTAAAATATATAAATATTAGGTAAATAGTAATATAAAATATAAAGTAAGATGTATCTATCAAATAAAAAAACTTGCGTTTTTGTTTTTTGGTATTATGCAAATCTTCATTTTCTTCTTCCGATGTAAAATCAAAACCATCACATAAACTTTTATCATCTATGAATAAAAGTAAAAAATCCAATAAAATATAAAGTAAATGAAATTTAAAGAAATGTGGAACAAAAAGATTGTAATAAAAAAAAAAACTGCGAAATACCTTTTTAATCTTAATTTTTATTATAGGATATTTAATCCAGTCATCTTTTGGTGGCCATTGCTGTGAGCAAGCTCTAATAACATTAATGCCTTTTGCCCAACAGACATTCTTATCTACTACCCAGATTGTGGGAATGGTCATTTCTTCCTCCCTCAATAACTCCTTCCATACAACTCTTGACCATGACATAATTTTATATATACTGCAAAAGAATAGCAATTTATTCAAAAAAATTTTAACCTTCAACACTAAATAAATAAACCTCATGCATATATACATCGCAAAATAAGTATTATATAAACTGTTGCACAACACTGTTAACTCATTCCAAACTATAGTGATATATAATCAAACAAATGTCAAATCATGGTTTAAAAAAGAAAGAATGACCTATTTGGGAATGATAATAATTAATGTCAAAAAAAAATTAAGATAACTTAAATATTTTTAAATATGCTAAAAACAAATCAAATATGTAAGTGCAATATCATGCCTGAGAAATAAATAAATTTTTATGACTTGATATTTTAATTGTGAGTTTCTGTATTTTTATATTTTCAAATTATTGCATTTAACTTATATTATTAAACAAGTAATTTTAGGTTTACATTTACAAAAAAGAATTTTTACTGCACATATATTTACTGCATTCTATGTCATCTATGTCATTTAAATAAAACATACAATAATAAGCTGAATTTAAATTTATTCATTATAAACAAACTTTTCAGTTTCAGCTTCATGCAAAACAGGAAATATGGCAAGCCCTCTGCGTTCAGGAAGACACACACATTTTTTTCTCAATTCAATCTTAGAAATTAGTTTTTTTTCTACTTTTCCATAGTTTCCTTTTACTAACAGTGCAATATTAAATCGCAGTGATGGAACTGGTTTGTCATATAAATTACATAGGTATCGTGGATTGATAACATTACAATGAAAAGTTCCATTTATTTCATTTGTAGTCACAAAAGCAACCGAATTGTCAGTAAGAAGGAAACATCTATCTTTTTTACTTTTAGATACTTTTGTAAATAACGATTTGTGTGATGCATGTTTCCAAAAATGTTGAAACTCTATTTGCCTTTTACACACTTGCACAATAGGGCTCTTGGAGTTGTTAACTGACAGTTTCAGTCTTTGTAGAAAGTTTTCAAACGGAAAACAAGAGATACTGTTGAGTGAGCAGCAATGGTTCATACAATCATTGACTAAATGGAGTAGGCTATGCACATTATATACAGTAAAAATTTCTCCATAAATATACTTGCATGAATAAACAAAATTTGTCATCATACTGCGTTCATAATCCAAATTGTTATTACAAAATTCGTCATTTGACGTCAACATAA